TTTATGTACATTTATTGAGGTCTGCATTCACGAACATCACGTTCCTACATTTCTGTTCTGCTTTCTCCACAAAGAGGAACACAACTAACCATTTATCAGCAGCAGTGTGAGAGAAGATTTATCATTTTAAATTTTTCACTGCAGATGGTTTTCATTTTAAAAGGCAGGGAAGCGATTTTTTTTTAAATCATTTTTTTCCCTAATGCAATTGAGCCAGACGTTTCTCGTAAATCTTGTTGCTTTCATAGGCAATACTCAATTCTCTAAACTTTATATGCAACATCCTACTTTTTTTTTAATGATACCCATCTTCTGCAGATGACAATCAAAGCCATTAGAAAGGTGGTATCATACCCAAAGCTCGCCACTCGGAGTGCCCCCTTTTTCCTTAGCTTACAGTTTATCTCAATGTTCCTTTGTGTTAAAAAAATAATAATGAGTTTCAATGAGTATGTGAAAGGTTTTTCTTCCCTTTCTTTGCTTTACAAATAGGAAGAGAATAAAGGAAGCTACCACTCAATGTATCCTTCCAATCAGATATCAAATTGTTCTCAGTAAATCACTGAATTCATTGAGTTGGACAGTCCAAGTGAAAATCAGCCATAGGGAGGAAAACAGAGTGGAGGGCGCTTCCACTGTAATTAATAATAAAATCATTTAATATTTGACTTGATGTTCCTAGATGATATGCCCCCCCTTTAAGAATGATTTCATTTTTGTGGTAGAATACTGGGTATTCCCATCGAGCAAACGACACCACAGTGCTCTGGTGGTGCATTCATTGTTATTCATAAAGTACATTTGCTGTCAGGTTTGGAGGCCTCAGATGCCTAAATCAAAATGCACATTAAAACATCATCAATCAAAAATGCCATCAATCATCTTTACATGACAAGTTTGGTTAAAGAATCAAAATATATTTTATATAAAATATGTAATTGTACATCATATATAATTTATTATGTATTCAAACATATTATTGTACATTCAAACAACGATTCATTTTCAAAAATGTTAATGTATCAGTGATTTAGTCTTTTAAAATATTTATTACAAATTTCCTATATATTTTAGCTCTCTTTTTCTATGTCCTCTAATGAGAGATTCTTTCTAATTTGTCCAGACTGTGCTGCTTTTTCAGTTTTTGAGATTGATTTTCTTGTGAACATTTATGTTCCCATCTGTAAAAGTATAAGGGATTCAATAAAATCCAATCTCCACTTGGCAAGTATTTTGGAATTTCTAATAGGGCAGTCCAGAGATAAATTCTACCTACAATTTTATCAAATCAGTATTCACCCTCTCTTTCAATATTTCTAGGTATGCAACCAAAAATTCATAAAAATTTATAGAAAAAAAAAGTTCCTACCTTTATAGACAATGGGGAAGGCCTAGGTAGTGAGAGGGGGTGAACCTCTTCTGGGTAGGGCTGTTAAAGAGCACCAGAATGTCAGTCACTGGATACCCAGTTCCTTGTTCCTGATGGTACTCCCTGAGGTTTCATACAGAACGCATAAATACTGAACACAACGATGGCCCGTCAGGACTTCTTAGCAGAATTCTCTCAGAAGTTAATTCCAACAAGCGTATTCTTTGACATCTGTAAGCTACAGCCTAGCTTACACTTCTGCTACCTTCCCGTTTCCTCTTCCATATTTGCTTCCTGAGGCTGGTTCTCTATTAGTAAGATTACTGGGAAAAATAATTCCATTTTCAAAGCTTTGATTTACCTACAGTTCAGTATTGTGATGTTTGTGTCAAAGAAATTGTGCTCTTAAAAATTCAAGGAAAATGTGACAAAGTGAGAGCTAAAATCCTTTGCTCCGAGAATACAGTTTTAACTATAATGCTGAAAGTGAACCAGAAAAATAAAAATCTCTCCTCACTTAGAGATCACACATCCTGTATGATGTATTTTTATTTTTTCTAAATCAAACGACATTTAACAAAGAATTTCATCTGCTAGGAAATCCAGTTCAAGCACGTTATAAATTTTCTGTCCTTTAATCCTGAGGACTTATAAAATCCAGGAAATTAGAGAAGAGATGCTTTCCAAATTGTCCTTTGGTCTCTGCTCGTGGTTACCTCCAACATGTGCTTCCCTTGTCTCCTTGGCTATGCCTCCCTCCGCCATCTGACCCAATGCTGCAGCTCAAGATCTGGATAGATACTCTGTAAGAACATCACTTTTGTATTTATATAATTTCCGTCCTACAACTATGTAATAATTCTGTTAGCCCTACATGACTTGGCATTTAGATTCTTTTGAGAACATTTGTTGTTACTGGTAACCTTATACAACACCACTACATTCATTTTAAATCTTTGGCTACATTTCTATTTCACCAGGGTAGATTTTTAACAGTGAGATTCCTACATTAATAAAGACAATCTTAAGGATATCTGTTCAAAATTACTTTTCAAGAGCGAGTCTAATGTATAAATAACTAGGTCTTCTGGAAATACTTGTTGCAAATTTCCTTGTCTACCTTCCAGATTGTATGATGTGAGAAAGAAGTAGAAGTTTAAATTTTTGTGTAGTCAAATCTATGCATACTTTTCATTGTACTTTTTCCTCTTTTATGCTTGGGAATTATTTTTGCATCCTGGTATTTAATATTATTTTTCTTATATTTTCATTTTCTTTAACACATTAATCAAATAAAAGTATATTTGATACAAAGGATGAGCTTGAGATTTTTTTTCAAGGTAGTTAATCAATTTTCTATCACCATTTCCTTTCTCCAAAAGTTTATGCTATATCCTTTTTTATGTGGTGGAACCTAAATAGTCTCATAACAGCACTAGGACTCGGGTGCTATGAATGAGAGACACCTCTGTGGCTAAATTTAAGGGACTCACTCCAAATCAGTAACTCCAGTAGTCAATATAATATTTTAATTTAATATTTTAAAAAATCAATACTAATACAAAGATCCAGAATGAAAAATAAGTCAACATTTTAAGTAAAGATAAATCAGGTCTTCCAGCTTTATGGGATTATATTTTTTTTAAATCTAAATAAAATATAATGATTAGCAGTCTCCCAGTATTTCCAGAGAACTTCCATTTTCTGCGTACTCACTAAATTGCTAAACACTTTTTTGACTAATCTGTCGTAATTCTAGATAGCTTCATTCTTAGCGTGGTCACAGTCTCTTGGTCTATTTTCCTCAAACCCTGATAACACAAAATTGTTATTCATAACAGATTTCTTACTTAATATTTGTAGATAATTGAGTGAGAGTAGACCCTATACCGGGAACCATCCTAGATTTATTATAAAACATTATTGTGTCTGATATTCATACTGATACACCCAGGTCAGAGTCACTGTGCTTTCCCCCTTAACTCGGTCCAATGCCAAGTTACTTTCTCACTGATTTCTCTCACCCACCCCATGCCTTTCTTGAGCTCAGCAATTATCACTTTCCCCTCCCCACCTTTTTTTCAATTCAAATTATCACAGGAACACTGAACATCTTATTTATTCACTGTGCAAAATAACTGCACAGAATATTGGCATTTGTTTCAGATATTTCTGGTCCTTTCTTCCTCTATAGCCTCCTGACCTTAGTACTTTAGAACTTGCTGGTTTGAATTCCAGATGCTAGCAGCTGTATTTATCACATAAGGCTTTGGCCACCAAAGTTCTTGTCCATGAGAGCAGCACATTGGAAGAGTCCAGAGATTCACATCTGCGATTCTCTGCAACTCAGCACTTTTCAGCCAGTAACTGAGAGAACATGTTGTGTCAGTACCCGTTGTCTCATCTCTGGGTGGTTAGAGTAGATGAACACAGGTTCATTTTTTACATTGGCTCAAAATTTCCTGGAAGAACAGGCTCCACTTGCCCACAATGATAAGGTGCTTAATGACAAAAAATATTTTGACTCCATCCGTTTCTTCCTTGCAAACAGTTCCTGGGATCACCTCCTACAGAAACTACTACTTATAAACAAATCCTTATCTCCAGCTCTGCTTTTCAAGTTACCTCCTAAAAATGACGTCGACCTCGGGCCTATAGTTTCAGCTTCTCAGAGAGCAAGTTCAGCGATGTGCTGTTTTTCTTTACAGTAGTTTTGGGGGTCGTGGGTTAAATGCCTTGGGTGATCTAATTCCCCACCAACAATCTCTGTGAACAGAGGGGGGAGACTGTTAAACAGGGTCTGAAAGAGATAATATATATTCTTCTGTCCAAAGCAAATTCCAGAGGATACAGATTTTTAAAATTTCCTCGTTTCATTTAAATTCTACTGTGGCACATATATGTCAGAGTACTGCTCCTCTGTTTCCATTTTTATTTTCATTAATCCATATGCCATTACCATAATTTGTATTATAACTTTTTCATTCTTTTCCACTTAAAATATCTACTTCCAATTCCTTCCCCCACTGTTTTTTTATTTTCTGGCCTAGTCTTGCCATTTTATATTTTCAGATCACTTTAAAAATAACTTAAAAATTTAAGTGAAAGAAAATCCCTGCAAGAATCTGAGATAAAACTAAATTAAGCCTATAAATTAGAAATCTATCTATCTATCTATCTAGGGACTTCTTACATCACCACATTTCCCAAGCTGAGTTCAAACTTATAATTCTCCTATCTCAGCTATTCAGAGTGCTAAGATTATAGGCAAAATAATTAGTCTTTGACAAATTCTTTTCCACACTGGAACATGGTACACCTATCCATTAACTTCAGTCTTCTTTTATGTCTCTCCACAAAATGGTTTGTTGTTTCAAAACATAAAAGGACATCATTCTTATTATTGCAAATAACAAACAATAAGATTCATTTGGCTACAAATATGATGCACATATTTCTTAAAATGGACTGAGACCTGCCACTAAAAATAAAGGTTAAAAAAGGTTCTTTCTATAGTGACCTCAATCACAGTATGATACAGTGGAATGTATTCTTACTCCATGAAGCATGATCCACTCTGGGACACAGAGAAAAGTTCAAACTTTTTTTTTTTTTGCTCCCACGCAAACAGACTTTACAATGTTGAAGATATTGAAGCTTTGATTTCAGAGATAAGAGAGCTGACAATGTAACATGCAGGTTATTACTGTTTCTGAAACTTCACACTTGTATATACTCTTCTACAGAAACCTGATTTCAAATCTAAAACAAAGGGCATGTACCATAAGGTTAATTATTAAGAACTGAGGAAGTGAGATGAAAGCATATTCTTCAGTTCTCACAGAAGTTTTTATTTAGATGGAGTCATATTTCATCTAGATATTTTCAGAACCAGGAGTCAGCATCAACTGCTTTAAGCAGGAGTCTCCGGGATGCCTGAGAAACCAACTACTCTAGGAAAAGTATGGATGCTGAGAGACAGTGTACAATAAAATGCAGTTATGACAACTTCAAGAGGAAGAACTTGTTCATGTGTGATTAGGAGCAAGTACTCTAAATCTGCTTTGCTTTTTAAAATTTTATTAGTTCATATTTGCAGTGTATAATGATTATAAGCATTGTAGGAAGTTAATACATGTACACAATTGGTATTAATTCTTTTCACATCCCTTTCCCTTTCCCTCTTTCTCTCCCTCCTCTGTTACTTGGTCCCCTTCCTTTTGTAAAAGATCTAGCTTCCTGTTTCCTATTGTCTATCTTTATTTTGCACTTTAATTTATTTATACTTCAGGTTTCTCATATGACAAACCCTGCCTTCATTTTTAATTTACTGTGAGGTATTGACCAAATCAATAAGTTTATAGCTCTAAAAGTTTGTAACTCTAAAAGTTATAATTTTCTAGCTCTCAAATTTTAAGTCTAAAATCAAATTTACATTGAATAGCTAAATCTAGGTGGCTATCCACACCAGTATAGTACTCATTTGTGTAGTACCCTATCACTACCTAGAAAATGTATTTATTTTAAAGCTTCTTTGAGATATAATTTACATACCATAAAATTTATTCATTTATAATGTACAATGATATTTTAGTTAAATTTCTTAATCACCCTTAAGTTAAAGTCGACAAGGGTGTCAAAACCCTAAATTCCTTTTATAAAATATATGACAATGTAACATGCAGGTTATGACTGTTTTCTTTCAGCAAAATTATTAGTATAATCAGATCACTTAACTTTTGCATGGTGACACATGCCTATCAATACTAGCAATCATAAATAAATAAGTGCAAGCCCTGGAGATGTAGATCAGTATAAAGTCCATGAGTTCAATCTCCAGTAAGAAAGAAAGGGAAGGAGGGAGGGAGGGAGAGAGAGAGAGAG